TAGATAGCTCCCGCTTGGCTTTGCCTTTTGGCTGCCTTGCGATTGAGCACTCTACACTGGGATTGCCATGCACTTAGCCTTGTGCAAAGCTCATCACCTTAGTTGTGACTTGAGCACTCTTGCATAGCACGGTGTCTGCACTTGTTCCCACAAGTGTAGCGCCCAGGCAATGGTTTAAAGCTAGTCTTTGTTCCAGAGCTTGCCTCAGTGTCTGCACTGCACTGATAAGACCCAAATAGGTCGAAACAGTGTGCGCCCTGTCTGCAGTTATATATATACGTATTTCTATATTACTTTATGGTGTAGTCTCAGCTCGAAGAGATTGCGTAGTTAACTACTCTAAAATTCGAGTATGAATAAAGTTGATGTATAGGTATGTTCGTAAAGAAATACACGCCTGATCAGAATCTTTCACGAGCCTTTCACGCCGCTAATGAAAAAAGTATCCTGAATATTTTATCGTTTAAGTTACGACTGAGGCGAGTTTTAAGTCTCACCCATGTGTCATCATTATATTATTATGAATAAAGTGTGAACTCATTAAGCATGTTTTGTGTACCCATCGAATAATCAGAAAATCCCAGCCTTGCCATTTCTGCCTGAAGATGAAACTCCAGCAACTTTCCATCGCCTAGAGACCATAACGGTTACTAAGCCTTTGCAGGCTTTTACAAAGTACATCTACAATACGAAGATTACCAGCACCATGCTGCGTCCTTCCTGAGTTGGAGTTCATCCGAACAACAATGCACTCAGGGATGGCACCACGGCCTGAGCTGTCTCGCTCAAGGCAAGTCTCAGCTTCCCTTCCACTAGCTCTCTTCTGGTTGACCTGTGTTGTTCCGAGAGGCCCAACTCACCTCACTTAAAACCCGGCTTGTTTCAGAGCGAAGCTTAAACGGATCCAGCGACGGCGGTACTGAAATATTCTAGCGAGTCTTTTCGGTTTCTGGGACCAGTTTCAAAGCGGCGATAAATATCGCCAATCCGCCTCCTCACTGAAATAGCTCCGCGTCTTAGTCCTTCCTGATTTTGAAAATAGACATGATTAGTTTCTATAAAATTCCAGTTATGTAAAAATTAAGCCGGTTCAATTATTACTTTACTTAATTAAGCTTTAGGTTATAGGATTTCGTGAACGATATCTTTTGACACAATTTCTGCAGTAGTGCGTAGTTACATTAAGGTTAAGCACAGGTAGCCCAGGCTCTGTCTCAGGTTCTGTCACAGCCTCTGTCACAGGCTCTTTCACAGTGGATTATTATAGAGTTTGTATAGTGGTTCAGTTGGACTTACTTTTGAGCTCCGTAAATATAAAGTTGTGTGAAATAATCAAAGAAATAAAGTCTTACCTTCATACAGACTAGTCTGTGCTGTTCTTGTCGCGATTTGAGGCCGTTTTGATGTGTTTCAGCTTAACGTTCTACCACTACCAAAGAAGAGGGAAGCTGATTATTTCACAGCTTTATATTTACGGAGCTCAAAAGCAAGTCCAACTAAACCACTATACAAACTCTATAATAATTCACTTTGAAAGAGCCTTTGACAGAGCCTGTGACAGAGCCTGTGACAGAGCCTGGGCTACCTGTGGGTTAAGTTTAGATTAGGTTTTGTCCAGTATCAAGTTATAGTAAAATGAACTAGGTCTGTATAGGGTTTCTGTGATACTGTAGTTAAAGTTGCATTTTAATACAACTTTAACTGCAAAAGAAACAGTTGACAAAAGACAAATTCGTGTCTTCATATGTGTTATTTACCTAGTTTTGGTCAGCTTGTTATTTCTTATTTCTCTGACGAACTATCATGAATATGGATCATCTGCGACCATCGATGCAACATCAATAAAAAATATCACTGCTACTATTGTAAACGAGGCGCGGGCGCAACAAAAACGCAACGTAGGTCTTTGAGCAGTAAGCGCCACGTTGGTAAAATACGGTAGGGTAAGGAGCTCGATTATGGTAGCGAACTCGGTCAGCTGAAGTCGAACTCGGTCGAGAACATGTTGCGAACTGACTCGAACATTGCGATCTCGTCAGGAAGCGAAACCGGTGTAAATCGCTTGATCATGCGAACACTACAAATATCTTTGGAAAATGAAAATAGTTTGAAATATCTTTGATCCGATCTGAAAATATGAAAGTAATAGTGATGCGGCAGAATGAAGACATTGTAGCTGTGACGCGCTGGCTCTCCTATATCCACACACAAGTGTTGATCTTCGGCTTTGACATGGTTGAAATGCATTTTTTTTTTTTTTTTTTAATTGCAGATTTAGAAATTTTGAAAGTTTCTTTTTGTAGTAAATTGACTCATTGACATAGCATAGTCTTCCTTTTCTTTTTTTTTTTTAAAATTTTAAATTAGATAAAGATCAAGTCAAACCATCATCGTGAGGAACCAATTAGAGGTTAGAGGCACGTGCGGGGTCGAGACCAATTTCTCAAAAAGATGACGTAAGATTACTTAAATAGTTTATGCGCAATGACAATTCTTCACGGAATCGAGGCTCTAGGGAAATTCCCACATAATGGAGTCCTTCCTTTCCTAGTACTTTGATCAATGCATGGTTTGTTTACGGGTAACTGCCCCACACAGAAGGTAAAATTGTTGTTTCTGTGTTCTCGTTGTGAAATGGCACAACCCGGTGTTAAGTATATTCTTCTTCAAGATCGTGTCGGACACACAGTTGAAAGAAGTGTGTTATCGCTCGGCCTTACGACGAAGTCATCGCCAATGCAGGTACTGCGAGGCGAGTTGTTTGAAGGTGTTCCTGAAGCTGAACAGCCTGAAGAGTCAACTAAAGTAGCTGCTGTTGGAATTGAACGTAAATCGTTACGTCTTGAATGTCGTACAGAGGATTTAGCCCGCCTATATGGAGAAGACGCCAACTTGCTCTTACCAATTTCATCGGCTCAAAAGAGATATGATACGTTTATGGACAGAAATCGTCTACCGTTTGGCCGAAAGCTTTTTCCCGGAAGTACTGTTTTTGTCGAAGTGAAAGGAGTTTCAAAAGATTTGCCTGGTGTCGTCTGGTACATAGGAGAATTGCCGCCTGGCACTGGGACTTGGTTCGGAGTCGAACTGGTTGTAAGTACAATTAGACATGACTTGATAAATTCTAACATATAGCAAGACGGTCTGAGACGACTGCATGCATTTATCATGCAGGGTGACATGCAAAGTACAAAGGGAACTAAGGTATCCTTATCGACCTACTCAGGAAAATTCAGCTTGAAATTAATTCCTGGAATCTTCTCTTCGTAATTTCTGTATTTATATTATGAAGGCGCCTATACTTTCATGAAAAGATTAATGCCCGTCCATACTAATTCGGTTTCGTTTTCATTTTAAATACATGTTTTGATGCGCCTGCGGATAGAGTTGAAACTCCACCTTACATTTATGAGCTTTGATTAAGTCTGTATAACCTAGGATTATGGTAAGACCTTCATGATCAGAGCTGAATTTTGTAAAAATAGAAAATTGGTTCTTCCTTAAGCTGAAACTGTTATTTACAGGTAGTGAAAAAGTTGATTTGAAATCCGTAATTAATATTAAGGTACCAAATGACTTGCAAACCACTTGCATATCCACTTGAATGTCTTGTTTTCCCCATGCAAACATTTCCTCCAACTGTTTAAAACAACTTAATAAGGTCATTGCACTTTTAACTTAAGTCTCTTCTATCTGATAATCAGGCAGTGAGGATAAGCCACATAGTGGGGTGGATATAGTTTTAAAAGAAAAACATTTAGACTTAACATCTCAGGAATACAGGAATACAGTGAACCTACTTGAACTTAAAACTTACACTTATCTAGTTGTTGCTTTCACACATGTCAATAAGTCCGTCTGGAAGTTTGCAAGCAGTAAGTGATATATAGGTGGTTACGAAAGAAGACCGGCTTTGCCAAACAAGAGCATTGATAAGAGAAATCAAAAGAAGTTGAATGGTTGAGTGTTAGGTGAATTCACTGCATCATCAGCTCCATGTAAGCTGGTTCAATCATGCGATAAATGTTCAAAGAAATAGTATTCCAGATTCGTCAAGAAAAGTTCCAGAAATGATAATCTCCTTTAAAGTAGCAGTAAAATTAATATACTGAAATAATGGATATTGCTTTTGAGGGTTTAAGTAGAAATCAGATTAAAAATAAAAAGAAATTTTATCAGAAAGGTTGTGGTCTTTGACCACTTAATCATTTGGATGATCATGAACAGAAAGACAATGAAACCAGGCTATTTCAAAAATCACCATCAATAGCAACATTTCAAATGTCTCTCACTTCTTGAGAATTTTTCCTGCAGCCCTTTCAAATTCCATTTTCTCTGTGTTTATGCTTGCTATCTGGCGTGAATACTCTCTAAGCTGGTGTGTCATGTTCAGTTTTGCCGTTTGAACAGCTTATTAACCTTTTTCTCCTAGTTTTAGCCAGTACTTTACCTTTTTCATGGAAACTTAGTTATTGAAGATGTTCCAGGGAAAAGTCACATCTTACCGGATTTTTGTTGCTTTTCATGTCAAGAACTGCTTACAGTTTTGAAGCTGGTTCTCATCCTTCCATATTTTGGTTTGATGTTGTTGTAAAGAACCCCTCCACCTAAGTTAACTGTTCGGTATTGCTGTGCAAGAAAGTGCTATCAAACATCAAGGAGAGTTAGTTATAATTTTATGTTCCCTGTTGCAGTTAAGATAATGCCTTCTTGATGGCCTGTCATAACTATGCTAATTAATTTTGTGCTCTAAAATTAACATTAATGATAGTGATATTAATGATGATAATAATGATAGTGATAATGAGAATGTTGATAACTGCATGCATACTCTTGTTTAACGATTATCATCAATGTTAGTCATTGTTATATATATGTGGTTTAACTTATATAGAAAAATCCTGGGTCAGGAACATGTGATGGAACCTTCAGAAACAAGCGATACTTCAAGTGTGCACCAGACTCTGGTGTTTTTGTTGCACTGGATAAATTAAAACCACGAGACAATACAGATGACCTAAAATCTCAAAAAAATAGAAAGAAAGATGAAAATATTCAGGCTAACATAACATCGCGTCTCAAGGACTCAATACGATCATTTTGGAAAGGAAAACTTGAGCATAAGTCATCTCGAGGAAGTAATGGAGTGCTTAAGATTGATGATAGAGTAGTGACATTTATTGGGAATATTCCTGCCAGAGGAACTGTACGTTATCTTGGCCAGGAGAAAGATTCAAGTGGAAATGATTACATAGATGTAGGATTAGAAATGGTGGGTAATCCACTTTTTACTGAATTGTACATGGACAGCTGCATGTTACATGTACATGTACTGGTCATTCATTGTTCCAGTTTCAAGGACATTTTCGGGGCAATAGTTCCATGAAAGTCAATGTGTCTTGCTGGAAAATGCATTTGCTGGTATATCATATCAATTTCTAAAATCGATAAAACTACTTTTGACCAACTGCAGCATATGTCTTACTTTAGAGATGTCGTCTCCTACAGGTTTGTAATTGCCTCCTGCACCAAGAAATCTAATTTAAAATTTTCTCCTGTATTATGTCTTTTCACCCTATATTAGGATGAAAGAGTGGGAGCAGGAACTGGTAAAAAACATGGCTTTCAAGTCTTTGTTTGTGAGACAGATTTTGCAGCATTTGTTCCATTAGAAACTGTCATGCCAGAAAAAGACTTTGATGAGAACCCTGAACAATCTAAAAGACATACTCCCGAAGATGAATCATATACAAGATCGATGAGCTGTGTAAATATATCATCAGATAGAGGTTTGAGTTGATAAATGCATATGTATTTCATTTAGATTATCTCTCTAAATCATGCTTTGTACATGTAGGAAAGTATGAAAAGTACATCCCTGAATTGTAGTCTCTATCACTTATTAATGATGCCCAGTTGAGTGACACTTCTAACTTTCTGTAAAAAAACTTATTAAGACATGTCATTTTTACTATAATTTCTTTATAACAGTGGGGCTAAATTCTTTGAAGATATTTTGATGTGGCACTTGTGATGCACTCTTTTTTAAATTTTCTGAACATTCTGACATGGGAATAATAACAGTACAGCCCAGAGCTACTTGTAGTATTCATGGTAATGAATGTTCATGACAATGTTTTTAAACTAAGTATTAGTATCATGAAATCAGAACAGCATTTGAGGAAACTCCTATTAATGTCATATACATGTACACCTAATGCAATACTAACAAAACATGGTTCAAAACAGTAAGCTCAATACTGTGGATTTGTTTCTTTTTCTTTTTCTCAGGTGCAAGTAAGGAATCTCTCAGAAAACTAAGAAGAACAAATTCACTGACCACTGCAGAAACACAACTCATAATGGCAGCTGGAGAATCCAGTAAAACTGATACTTTGGAATTCATAGAGAAACAACGTGAGATGCTGAAGGAGTTTGAGGGTAAAAACCTGCCAGACAATCAAGATAATGATGTTGTTATGCAAGATGAAGAAAGGACAGACAGTGCAGGAAATTTTGACTTCAAAGATGATCATTTTGAAAGCTCTCCTCCAGACAAGTCTGTTCACCATGGGAAACAGATAATTACAAAACAGCCTGGTTTGTCCAATGGAGACCCCAAGATAAAACATTACTCCCAAGCTGCTACTCTTGAATATCCTGATTTTGTCCACATAGAGAAGAAGGACTATGATAACTTGAGTAGGAAGCATGAAAGGGACTGTAAGTGTGAAAATAAGGTTTTTGGTTCATACTGTAAGCTGTAAAAGAGTGCAGTAGTCATTTGCCAAAATGACTAGCTCTATGATTGTGCACCTGTATGTTATTGAGAGGTGCATTTCCTTGGTTCTTTTGAGATACAGTGACCCCTTGTGGTGGAAAACAGATTATAATTATTTCATGCATTGTCCCTATGATCGTTACTTTGGTTTCAAAATTGTGTGTGGTGGTGGTAGTGAGAGGGCATTTGTCCACCTTCTGGGACTAGGAGCCTCTGGAGAGCAGGAGGGAAATTTAATTCACTAAATATTAAATGATTTGCTGTTAAATAGCAACATATCCAGGGGAAGAATGTTATGGAAAAGTAATGGCTGGGTAGTAAAGTATAGTGATGTATTCTTTGACAGGGGATTCTAGGTTACCTGCAAAACACCCTTTACAATCTATTTCTCATGGATCACCACAGCAGAAAGAAGAAGCAAGGCTCCGAGAGCAAGGAGAAAATGGAAACGACCCAATTGTGTCAACAGCTGAAGTTGAACTGGAGAAAAGCTCAGGTGCTAGTGCAGAAAAGATGGATGTGGAAATGCTGCCTAATGATCCTTCAGAGCAGCTGCATACACAGTCACAAACCATATTACCCAACAGTGAGATGGAAGCTAACACCAGAAATGGTTTGTTCATAATTTATTTGTCAATGAGTCAAATGTCTGTATTAGGTAAGAACAAAAATCATCCAGGATTTTCCTGGGAAAAACTTCCAACATGGACCATATTATCAAATTAAAACACTTGTGTTGATAAAAAGGTTTTTGGCCCTCAAATTTACTGCCAGTATGTATATGTTGTAGTTCAATTTTATCCTTGGTTCAAATTTTATTTTCCTTTGTTTCAAACTCATTATCATACATTAACATGACTGAGAACAAAGGAAAATAAAATATGAACCAAGGATAAAATTGAACTACAACATATACATGTGTACAGAAGAATGATGAATTTGGGGTTTTATTGTGATGAAAAACTAAAAAATTCATGAATTCAAGATCCCGAATCCAGGGAGAGGTACACTTGCTAGAGTTGACTGCTATGTTTAAAAGGGTTGATACAGTTCAATGAAATGAGGTATCTTCATTAACCATTGGGGAGGAAGCTGAAGCAGAATCTCTGTGAACTTGTAAAACTTAAGTCAAAAATTACCTTTTTAAATAACTTTGTAAATAGTTTTTATAGTAAGTATTGTATAAAGTTAAATCGCAACCTAATGTTCTTATATTTGTATATTTAACTACCTGGTAGATGTTTTCAACTAGATGATTATTTTGGAAACACCCTCGATAGGGCTAACCTCTAGTGTCTCCCTTTCTTTCAAATTAAATATTATTGTGATTTGATTGAATAAAGTATTATTGTATTAGTGGCAGCTAATAAGTTACTATAATTGTCACATAGCACAATTGCTTGACAGCTGACTGGTTTGGTTCTAAGGTCATTTCCCTTAAGAGTCTCTGATTATGAAAGACCTTTGGGTAAAGGGGCCAACTTGAAAAATATGAGATTGAATGTTATTTTTAAGACAGGTTCAATATTGTGAATGTGTAAATGGGTGAAAGTCTCATTATATTTTATGTTATTTTCATTTCTAACATGAGAGCACATTTTTGCAAGGTGAAGTGAAAGTCAGTTTTTCAGGACTTACATGTGTTGCAGCAAGCCATTGCATACTTTCATAACATAATGTGGCGTAATTACCTCTGTAGGTGAAAGTGGCTCATTGGCAGTTGATAATCATCATGGTCTTGAAGTTGGATCCATGATAGAGGTTCCTATGGCTAATGGTTATCCAAGATATGGAGTTATTCGCTGGATTGGATTTCTTCCAAATGTAAAGGATAAGCTGGTTGCAGGTTTAGAGTTGGTGAGAGGCATAGTTTGTTAGCTGGAAAACTAAATTTTTTATAGACAGGGTACAATAGTATTGCAACAAATTACATATAGTCAACATCATTCCTTGTTACATTTCTTAAGGAAGAGGAGCAGTCTGCATGTTCAGATGGAACATTTAACAAAGAGAGATACTTCACCTGCCAAGCAGGAAGGGGCTTCTTTGTTTTGCTGGAACATTGCCGACCAGATTCACGTTTTGAAACCAACACACCAACAAGTGACATGAGTTTGGGGGATAAAAAAGGTAGGTAGTCCAGGGTTCATTTGAAGATGCTGATAACTATGCATAACAATGATAGTACCAACAAAAAGGAAAACAGAAAATATGCTTTTAAGACTTTGGATACCTTGTTTGTACTCATTTTACTTTATTTTTTTTTTTATCTTTTTGTTGTTGTTGTTTTCGTTTTTGTAGTCTTTTTTTTTCACATTTTTTGTTACTCTTGAGTAGCATTGATGACAACTTGGATAAAGGTGTTTGAGCCCTTTGGCTGAATTTTCTTTTAATAATTGTCCATAAAGCAATTTGCATATGTTGTAGTTCAATTTTATACTTGGTTCAAATTTTATTTTCCTTTGTTCTCGGTCATGTTAATGTATGATAATGAGTTTGAAACAAAGGAAAATAAAATTTGAACCAAGGATAAAATTGGACTACAACACATACATTCATTTCTCCCTCTTTACTACAAATTTCTTTGTATACGTCTTGAGCTTACATGCAACTTGACACCTCTTGAAAACATAATGAATGAGGGGAAAACCCCTTTTGAGAGTCCATCTAGTCTAGTCTAGTGAACAAATTTATTAGAATGTAAAGAAACTGCTGCTCTGTTTGGGGAGGCAAATGAAACAACTTGTAATTGATTATTGAATAGAAGGAATTAATGGCATATTAGCCTGCAATCAGCCCTATGTGGGAGTAAAGTTTTATAGGCTTTTTTATAACTTGTGTTCTCTCTATCTCAAATATTTTTACCAATAACTTGTCAATTGATGAACTGGTTCTTACAATTTCAGATTTTGGAACTATGCTCACCCCAGAAGTCCCAGGGGTAACCATGCCTCCTGAAACTCTTCAGGATAAACACTGTGGACAAATGCGTGGTCTTCAGGGTCACCACAATTCGTGTTACCTTGATGCCACACTTTATAGCATGTTTGCATTCACTTATGTCTTTGACACCTTACTACATCGTAAGAAAAGAGATAATGATCTGTTGGAATATGAAAAAGTACAGACTGTACTGAGAGACTTCATTGTTAATCCTTTGAGAACGTAAGTATTTGCATAAATTACTATTTGCGAACGATACAGCAGGGAAAAAGAGAGAAACAAAATAAACCTTTCAGAAAATGAGATGAAAATTAAATTCCCCCCCTCGCCCCTCCCCTATTTTTCCAGAAACACTGAAAGGCTAAAATCAGCTAGGGCTCTATTCTTTCAATACAATATTGTGTACATAGGGGTGAAGGTAGTCGCGAAAGGAAAATTCCTTTTACAAAATGTGGACCACCATTTCATGTGAGTTCATGGTTATATACATTATGTTATGTGTCTGATTCTATTTTTTTATTATTTTTTATAATCATATGTCGTTTTATGGTAGGTATGGATTTGTTCGTGCAGACCGCCTCCTTATGCTGAGACGACTCCTTGACCAGCTCAGCTCCACAGCAGGCCTGGTAAACGAAGAAAAAGGTGACTTTAAAAAAAAATTCAAACTGTGAACGAGCTGGCAGATGACACTAAGCAAAGCACTTAACCACGATAACAAAGTAGTTAGCAGGCAAAATAATTTTAAAATATCTGAGTGAATTATTGGAATTTTCCCATGCTGAACAGAGTTGCATGACCTTTCGACTTCCACAGAATCAGCTTAAAACTCCACACCTACGACGAGGATTCCAAACTCAATGAGTTTTTTCAGCGTCTTTTTATATACTGCTTTCAAGTTCAGATTATGGGTGTACTCCCCTTTCTTGGTTGAGACAGGACTGTTTGACGTAATAGGACATATACTTATAAGTCTCGAGTCCAAACTGAAGTATAATTTTTCAATCCTCTTTGTTACTTTGTAAAAGATGATTAAAAGTACAATTTTTTTTCAGATCCAGAAGAATTCTTAAACTCTCTCCTGCAGCAGGTGCTGAAAGCAGATCCTTTTCTTCACCTCAAGTAAACTCAAGTTTTTGTTTTGCCTTCTAAATTTCACCATACATACTGTATGCTGTTGTGCAAACTTAACGTTCCCTCTTTTTTCATTACGTAGACCCCGAGATGTTCAAGAAAAGGACAGCGAAGGAGCGTTCTTATATCAGATCATAACAGACAAGGATGATACTGTAAAAATTGCACAGGTTCAAAAGCTTTTAGAACAATCGTTTATCTCAGCGGATCTCATATTGTCCGAGGTAAGTAGACGGTGTATTTTTCTCTTTACTCACTTGCTTTTGGTTAGGTTATATTTTGATCATGCCAAAGCACGGCCGCCAGACCGTGCATGTTCCCAAGGCTTGTGCGTTTTTGAAATGCGCCATATCTTATTTTACGATAAGTGGAAGTTGTTGTACGCACATAGGTTTCGCAAATGCGGTTGACGGTGGGCCCAACTTCCTCGTTTATGTGAGCCTGGAAGGTGGAACCTTGTCTATGCTTGCCATTAGTTTCTCCTTAAAAGCATCGTTGAATATAATGGCAGAAGTTTTGTTGCCACGGAAAAATAACCGTCTGTTAGATAACATAGCGTTCTAGCCTTGCTCTATTGTCATTACTTAAATGATACTATTTAACGTAGTACTTAACAATTCTTGGAATTGACTTCCTAAGAACCCTTTTCTCATTTACGGAAGGTTGATGAATTTATTGTTTTTAGGGAAAATTAAACCGCTTTACCTCTTTTATCTTTAAACCCGAAACCTTTTTTTTCCCCTTCCCACAGGTTCCCTCGTGCTTAGTTCTTCAGATGCCTCGGTTTGGTAAGAGATACAAAATGTACGACATGATTCTACCCAATCTGGAACTCGACGTCACACACATTGTGGAAAATGGTATTTACAAAAGCTGATTGTTTAAAAAAAGATTATTACGCCAGCTTCCATAACTGTGCCTTCTTTACGGAGAAACTTCGTGTACGGCACCTTGCCTTCCTCATCAAGAAAACATTTGTTGCGCTTCCAGGACGTGCTAGGTTTTGAAAAGTATTACAAAGTGTTTATGTGTCAGAGTATTTAACTATATATTAGCTAATTGTGGACCCTAATAATAATATACAAAATAAAAATAAATAAATAAATAATGCAGAGATGCTACGAGTGTCAAAATATACAATCATTAAAAACAGGGAAGGTCCCTAATAAAAACCTAAAGGAAAAAAATCTGTGTTATATATAAATTAAATATTGCTCAGTTCCAAGAAAAACTTTGAATTATTCACAAATTTATAATTATTTAGTTTAAAAAAAAAATTTCTTTGCAAACGTGGTTAAGTGGTCGCGTCTACGTGCATCTTAGCACCTTTTAGTAGCAGCCGTCCTCGGTTCTGAGTACGAAAGCTTCATTACTCTCCTTTGAAACCTTTTTTTTTTTTTTTTTTACAGTTCCTCGAGAATGCAGCTTGTGTGGCGTTGAAGTAGCTCAATATGAATGTAAAAAATGCTATCAAACGGGCCTCCTTGGGGCTGGCTCCAGCGGAATTGCAAGTTACTGTAAGAAATGCAATGATGCCGTTCACTCGCATCCACTTCGCCAGAATCATAAACCTTGGCCAATACTTCTCCCAAGGGTTTACAGTCAATACAGCGATGGGAGGAAAACAGGGGAGAGGCAAAGAACTCTTGATAAGCAGAAAATGGAACTTTTTGCCGTTGTCTGTATCGAGACAAGTCATTACGTAGCGTTTGTTAAGTGTGGTCCCGGAGCAGAGGCTCCCTGGTGTTTCTTTGACAGTATGGCTGACAGGAAAGGTGAGTCAGAACTTTGATAAAACTTGTTGGTCGTGTCTTGGTTTATAGTTATAGTTATTATTACTATTATTATTATTATTACGTATGATGCACGATCCTTCGCAGTAGATAGCGCTATTTATGCAATAGCGATTGCATAAATAGCGCTATCTACTGCGAAGGATCGTGCATCATACGTATTTAATACCGCAGTTCAAAATATATGAACTTCATATATTCATTGTATCTGATTATCATTATTGTTATAATTACTATTGCTATTATTATTATTATTATTAGTCATTTTTTATTATTGTCTTCACAGAGGTGACGGCAGAACACAATTTAAATCATATGTGTTTCTCCGCAAGTCCACATTCCCCCCTTATTAGCACTGATTCTCCATTTTTAAAATGTTTCTTTGCAAGAATTTTCTACCTCAGTGTTAAAATTTCTTTCAACTGGTACTGGTTGTTGTGGCTAAATATTGATAAGGGTGATTTACCAGTAGAACGTTTTGGGACTCTTATGGGACCTACTTGAGTATTTCGCTTGTATTGTAGGATTTAAGGTTGTAGGATTTAAGAATGCTTGCCAATATGCTTAACTTTAAGTGATTATTATGGATCATGAACTTAAGTGCTAAACAACGAGAACGATCTCGGTGCTCGTAAGTTTTTACTATCGTGTTAAACTTTTATTGTTAAACCTCTTTCGTCAGGGGAGAGAAATGGTTACAATATCCCTGCAGTGACACCATGTCCTGAAGCTCTGGAATGGCTCTCCAAAACTCCCGATGAAATCAGTGCAGCGAAGGAGAGAGGCGAGATGCCTGAAAAAGTCCGTCGCCTTCTAGGGGATGGATATCTCTGCATGTACCAAAACCTGGAAATGGTTATGTACAAATAAATCAGGAGAATTGCTTGTGGTCACACCTACAGCCCATTCGACTCGCGTAGCTTACACGAGAATCGAAAATGAACCGCCTCTTTGATAGGAGATCAAGGAAGCTACTTTGCGCCATAGGAACCCAAGCTTCCAAGCTCAGATTTCGCAATCGCTATATGGCTTCGTGAATATAAATCTGCAGAGATAGAAATTTAGTCGCAAGGAAAAAAGGAAACTTAGGATTTTTGTATCAAATATTACATAAAGACGTACTGATTCACATTTAGCACGCGAAAACGACATGTGGAAATTGGGGGGGGGGGGGAGTCTCTAAAGAAACTGTGGTGCTGCGTCGGTGGGGGTAACAAGGTCATTTGGTTATATCAGCTCAGTAGAAATAGCAAATTGGCCACCGTAAAGAGTTAAAAAGCTGACGTTTCGAGGGTTAGCCCCTCGTCAGAGCCTCCGAGGAAGGGTAACGCTCGAAACGTCAGCTTTTAACTCTCTACGGTTGCCAATTTACTCTTTCAATTTAGTTGATATAGCCAAATTGACAGGTGTAAATGTCTATCGTTTGTATACATAACCGTATATATACCGGGAAATTAGGGTAAATAATGAAAAGTTAGCATGTGCAATGTTTCATTAAGCTATACCTTCTATTTCCAAACACGTCTTTATTCGCAGTTTGCACCATTTTCTGAGTCAGGACCAAAGTTTGTCGTCATCATAATTTTGGGAAGAAGCAATCGAGGTGGAAAATACCATTGTCAAATACGATCATGAAGAAATAATGAAAATGGGCTTTGCTGTGCTGAAGTTATGATAACGTAAAAATCACAGGAGTTATGAAAAAGCTTCTTCTTTTCAGAAATAGAGTCAAACATGACAAACCTTTATGTCTTTAGAGAAAAAGAGAACTTAATCTGCGTATGAGCTGTTGTTAACCATTGAAGTAATCTGTAGAATTAAGGGTTTTGAGCTCTATGAAAATTTGCGTTCAAGTAGAGGTCTTAGGACGTGGGACACAGCCTTATTTACCGAAATGATACAGAGCTTTGATTTAATATTTTGATAAGGTTTTTTTTTGTATATAACGTTCAGTTCTACAATTGTAGTGGTAGTGCTTATGACCTTCTGTGAGTAATTAGAGAAAAGTAGCTATAAATAGTAATTAAATCAATTTGCTTAGTTGTGCATTTCTCTCCTTTCGTGTGCCACCTTTTCGTTGTCACGAAGTTTCGTCTGTCAAAAGTACTCTGGAGATTACCACAAGCCTTAAGATTACTTGGAAAACTGTATTCATTGAAAATCAACAAATGTATAATACGCAACTCCCCACAGGTTCCTTGCAAAGTTTTAATAACCATTCACATTTAACTACACAACGAGTTTTATTTTTCACACACTAACTATAAATGGACCGCACAGAATATTGTTCATATAATCCCAAAAATATCAAGAGCCCTCTGAAAGCACTCTAAGAGCGGAACAAATACCCCATGATAAGCCGGGGTTGGCAATCTTTTTAACTCAGCGGTCTCCATTGGTGATAAGATCTTTTGACGAAGCCTTTAGGAAAGCTGTCGAGTTTCTCTATTGGTTTTGACAAATAATTTAATTCACTTATAAACAGACTTTTTTTCCAACGTCCAGCTAAAAAACAAATTCTTTATTAGTACTTGCAAGAACACGCTGACAACCTTCTTAGACCAAAGGCGTTAAGTGACTGTCGGGGACAATAGACTCTACGAGCTTAGGAAAGAACTTGCTGATCTGCCTCTTGATCTTGGGGGCAACTCGACTCCTCACTTAACGTAAACATAAATAGTAAGTATTTATGCATTTCGCCAAACACATCAATTTAAGACAGCGAAAAAATATTTTAATGGCACTACTGCTTAACTTCAAAACAAAGCTTAATACCTTACAGAATACCTTTGCTTGCTAAGTCTAATTCAATGATGAATTTATTCATATTTTTTTCTAACGTTCATCGTGTTTTAGGGATTACACTGAACACTGGGGCAGAAATGTAAGAAGAGAACAACAGTAAGAAAGTTGTGTAAGGTAGACTTGTACCAGCCCATCTACAGCAGGAAACTGTCCATATATCCAGCTATAAGATATCCGGCAAACCCTTCACTTTCAATACAGCAACATTACCTTCTTGCTTCTGAAGGTTCGCCTATAAACTCGGTACAGGACGAACATAGAGCCCCTCTGTACAAAGAGAAGAGTCCTTAACAACTGAAATGTAGTTCTGCATTAAACGTTACTCATTTTATTTTTCCCGATACAAACGAATCCTTGTAAACCAACAAAAAATTCCATTATTGATTCAGTATCTAAGCTTTCATTCTGCCTAAAGCTGGACTCCATGTCAACATCACCGCTTGGAATTGCACTTGGGTTAAACGACAAACACCTGTACTTCTTTCGTTTACTTTAAGTGAAAAATGAAAATTTAATTGCTGATATATAGAAGATACTGTACAAAATAAACCAAATGTATCAAATGAACACACTTTATCCTAAACAGTGTAAGGTGTGCAAACAAGGGCCCTTTCCCATATAAAATGGCCGCGGCGGTGAAAGGATTTTCGCGCGAAAAAATGTAAGGGATAAAATAGTTCAATTAATTATTTTGACCCAGGTTTGGTTTGTAGATTCCACCAATGACCTAACTACTTTAAGTGGATCGAACGCTATTTTGTACAGGAATCCAATGTCCAGAGAGTCCTTCGTCAGAAAATCAATTCTCTTGTTGGAGGGGCATGGTGTTTGTTAGTACTATGTTCATGTGGTCCCGCGTTCATCGGTCCTTAACCTCCCTTTTGATTCTCTTGGAAAGACGACCAAACACAAGTCCGCCAACAAAAATAAGAGCTAAGCATGTAGCGAAAATGACGAAGAAGTAGTTCTTGGAAGGCGAAGCGGAGATAGCAACAGCAAGATCACCGATGGTTTCAGGTGGGGCAACCTTCAAAACAAATAGTGTCCAAATCAATACTGGTAACAGCAACGATTAGAACGCAGTTCAGTCTGGGATCAGGAGTGATCGACAAATCAAAACCTCTGTAGCAGGACGATTGCAAGCACAAGGAAGTTCACTCGGTAAACAAGGGCAGGGATCTTTAGAATTTTTTTTTTTTTCAAAGCACACCTTCCAAACCTCTTTCCAACTGATTGGCCCTTTCAAAATGACTCAAAAAGAGAGAAAAGATAAGACATTACAAACATCGAAATTTTTGGAATTAGCAATAAAACTACAGAGTGAGTCGAGTTGACAGCGCAAAATCAGCGTCGTATTATTGTCCTCTTAGTTCGGGGAGGGCATATTCATAGGAAGTTTCATTCGTACCCTAGCAGCCACTTCCCACATCTTCATTCTGCTTGTCAAATATGTCAGGCATTCCTTGTCAAAACGTGCTCGGTTCGAGTCGTGAGCCTCCAAGAGACACTTCATTACTGTAAAAATGATGAGAAAAAAAGATCAGTTCTAAAGAGGGCGTTTTCACAGGGTTAGAAGCTGTCATGTTAATGCATCTGAGCAAAAGAAAGGAAGGAAAAAAGACAAGAAAAGCGAGTTCAGATCCCACCAGGTCGGTTCAGTACACCAACATAACCGCTGTAATTTAATATGAAAGTGCTCTTATTATAGTGTACAAAAAAGTTGAAAAGTGGCTAGATAGAAAATGTAGATACATATAAATGATATATCAGCGATATATTAAGCGCACTCTTACTGGTCAAATATAAATCTTTTATTGAACCAGTAAACCCACAGCTAGTTTCTAGTGAATGTTAACCACCTTTATTATCGCGCTTACGGAATAATAATTTACTTGAGAAGACGTTTCAAAACATCTCTCACATCTCGCGGGGAGCACTACTCCATTTAACCGACAGAAACAGCTGTGAACTTGAACTGACAAACGAATTTTATTTTAGCGTGA